CCTCACCCCCCCTGCTTTGAGAGAAATCTTCTGCATCCGTGGATGTTTTGTTGCCCTTGTCTAGCTTGGATTAATACTTAGTCTATAGGCACACACCTGATCATCTACATTTGCCCTCTTACAGCACTAAATTATGTTTTCTACCTTTATCTTGCATCTACCTACCACTTCAGCATTTTATTAAAAATAATAATAATAAGGGAGAAATGTGGGATTCACATATAAATCAAGTATAAAAATTAAACGAATATTCATATTTGACCTGATTGTTTATAGTTCATAATGCGTGATCAAAACCGAAAGTTTCTGCGATGACTGCCCTTGTACTGTTCACCATGTAAGAACTTATTCACTACGTAAGAATTTGTTCACCATGTAAGAACTTGTTCGTTATGCTTCAGAAGATCGGAGACTGATGAGAATTAGGCTTGGGGTGGATTAATGATTGTGCATGGAGCCCCCTATACAGAATTTTATTGTTGTTAACAACCATTTGATCAATAAATATGAAAGATGCCCTCTCAAAAAAAAAAAGAACGATTATTAGAAGTCAAAACATTCTCATAAATACATAAGGTAGCAGTTTACACAATCAATATAAATCCTTCCAAACAATATATTTCTCTAAACTTTGTACTTTGTTACCTAAATTTTAAATCAAACGTACATTTTTGGCATGTAGTATATACAGAGTTTGTTCATTTGGGAAGAAAAACTGTATTCATGCTAACAATACCCTTTTTTTAAATCAAACGTAATGAAATTCTAGGTATTTGCCATCTCATTAAAAAGATAAGGATGATACTATTCTTGATAATGTATTGAAGAAGTTCTATAACCCTCCTTATTGACCCAAGAGTAATGGCACGTATATTAAAGAATCAGAACAACAACAACAAAAAAAACAATTTTTGAAACACAGTGAAATCAGAGTTTGTATGTGGATTCTTTATTCTATACTATATATTATGTAGTTAAACATATAATAGAGCACAGACTAAGATCATTCACTCAGTCATTCATATCTACTACGTGCTGGTGGTACTGGTCTAGGTTATGGGGATACAGATTTTTTAAAAAATCCATGCTAACAAGAAGCTAACTTTCTAGTAAAATGCTGTATACACAAAAACCACACGTGAGCTATTTTGTGGATATGTCAAGCATTCTGATGGTTAATTTTAACTATTCATGATTTTTGCCTTAGGTGGGACATGAGAAGCTAGCATCCCCCATAAGATCAGACTCTACTGTACCTATAACCTCAAGACTCGGAGAGCCCCTAGTTACTCGTTCCCCATCCTACTGCTAAGGACCAGCACCTGGCAGATACTTAGGTTTCTGGCCCAGCATCTTTCTCATTTTACCATTTACTGGACCTGGAATTGGGGGTCCCCAGCAGCAGGGGAACTAGGGTACCCACATATTCATTTTCTCCATCCTTATTTCTTGATCACAAAAATACTTGTTTTGGCAACATTAAAAGAATAGTAATTATTTTTATGTTGAATGATGTATAATTTATTTCAAAAGAACACACAGACTAAAACATCTATGCTGTTAAAGGTGTCACACTACATTTACTGCTCCATTATTCTTGCCTAGCAGACCCAGTCAGTGGTTCACACTGTCCAGTTGTGCCCTCAGCACAAAGCTGAGGCCACTGAAATTTCCCCTTTACAGACCAGGGGAAAATAACTGCTGGTGATACACACAGAGCCCGGAAGGTCTAACACAGGAGGCAGCGCCTGCCTGGCTGCAGGTCAAATCCAGCCAGCTCCTGTTTATGAGGTCTTACTGGAACACAGCCCCATCCATTTGCTGGCATACCGCTTGGGTGGGTTCTGCCCTACAGTGGCAGAGCTGAACAGGTGGCTCAAGACTGCACTGCCCTCACAGCTGGACATTTGAGTCCACCTACCCGCGGACCACCAGGGAGAACAGCTGAAGAGTCGGGCCGAACTGAAGTTTAAATTAGTATCTCAGAGACAAATGACAACTGATAACTAACTCCACAGACCAAAAGCCAAAGGCGCAGCAGAAGGCAGAGCGGCTAGGCTGACTGTCCCGAGTGCCCCAGCACGGTCCTGCCTTCTTGCCTCCACTGAGACTTTCCCTTCTGCAGAGGGCTCACTGCTGTCCCAAAACAGAATTTGAGCTTTAAATGAATCCAATTGTACATCTCCTATAGGCCATTTTTAGAGCAGCAAATTAAGTTTTAATTTATCTACCCGCGAAAACTGGTTTTCAGAGGGGAGTTGGAGGGGTGGGGGTACACGGGCCTGTGAGTTCCAAAGCTTCCTCTGCGGGTCAGAAGCCCTCAATAGCTCTAACAGAATGAAGCCCTCACCATCTGCTGTGCAAACACAGCATGTACACTCAAAAATAAAACCCACTGATGACAGCTGGCTTGTCAAAAGGTAATTTTAGGCTTCTTTTAAGACTGTAGAAACAGCATCACTGAAATTTAAAAACCACACCCCCAAAATATCCAACCCCCCGTGATTAAGCTCAACCCTGCATTAGAAGGCAACACTCTCCACTCCCTTTTACAAACCTCCTATCTCACATCAGCTCCCAGTCTCCAGCCCAGGACACAGAGAAAGCATTCCTGGGTGCTAATCTGACCCCAAAGGTCAACAGAAGAGATAACTATGGTGACACAACCGTCTCCAATAGTCACTAACAGTTCACGTTGTTTATAGTTTTCAAACACACCCACATGCACACCTGCAGCTTGAAGTCAGGGACTCTGTCTGTATGTATTCACCAAACTGTTCTCTTCGCCCCCCGCCTGAAGGTCAGTTCAGTAAGGACGATGACTATGTTAGGAGCATACTTACATCCCCTGCACCTCACACAGTGCTTCACAGTGCTTGGCACCTACATAGGGGAGAAGGAATTATGTGATTTAAGCGATTTTTTAAAGCATAAACTTGGATTACAGTTTAACCAAGTAACATGATTACCCTTTGAAACTCTGTGAAGAGCATCGAGATTCAACTATTTGCAGGATTTATGTTTCCTGCTTCCAGCATTTGGAGGTGACTTCCTGGCCTCTTAGTTTGTTTTGTACCGTTTGTTCCCTCTGGCCGGTTTTTATGACAGAACTGTTCATGTCCAACTGTAAACTCTTGTCTGTCCTATTTATCTGCAAAGTGCTCCAAGGCCCCGACTGTGGACAGTTGCTGAACAGATGCTTTGACGGTGATAGAGAGAAGGGCTGGGAAAGCTTTAGTTCTCGCATCTTATCTCCCCCTCCCCTGCCCCAACCAAAGAAATCCTGAAAGAGATCCTGTTGACACCAGATGCCTCCAAAAGCTTCTGGGTAATGGATCCTCCAGACCAAGGACAATAACTATTGTTTCTTGTCCTCTGGCTCCCAGCAAGCTCATTATTACTGGACAAGGATCAAACCTCTTGGTCTTTGGTTCAGACTCAAAAAAAGACTCTCAGCAGGGTACCCATTAGTTCAAATCATTGCCTGTAGTACAAAACTATTTCCCACCATCATTTTCCCTGCATTCACTTGTGTGCACACACAGAGGGTGAGGTCTGAGCACTGGGTGGGTTGCAGGGACTCTCTGTTTCTCCCACATGGTGTTCTATCTGGATGGAATTTAGACCAAAGATAAAACTGTTTGGAAACACGTGTCCCCAAAGTCACTCCTACTTGCAGAGGAGGGGACTCAGAGGATTTAAGAGGTAGAATCTCAATGCCAGCTCCCCACAGGGAAAATCCAATTAGGCCACAATGAGAATTTTCCCTTTGTGCCCTACAAAGTGCTTGAGGTTGGACAGCCCAGGCCCGCCTTTATTTAATCTCAGAAACTTACTCACTGGTATACTTGACACAGACAAGATACAACAGCACAATGAACTCAGCTGCTGGTCAGAAAGAGAGCTACTTTTGAAAAGTATTCTATCTATGCTGGATTTTAGAAAAAGTACTTCAGAATCAAAGAACCGGGTCAGCAATATTTTTCTTTTTTGACACTTTCTATTGGACACATAGAACGCCAGCAAAGAACAGGGAGTTCTACTCCACAGAGCTTCTCTGTGGCTATAACACTACTGCCTGATGCTAGGTCTCAGGCACACAGTTCTCTGAACAGTCAAACAGTAAATACCAAAATTAAAACAGGAGCCAGAAGTTCCAACTTCAGCATGAATACCTGTCATTCTATGCTAAAACAAGCCACACACAGTATTCTGGATCAAAGTGGAATATTTTTATCACTGATGTTTACTTTAAAAAGATGGTTATTCCAAATACAACTTGAAGGCAGGTTCTGTTTTACATGCAAAGCCACTGAATAAACAAATGCTATATTTGTGGTCGTGCCTATTTTCTGCTTCAGACTAACAGTTGACCCTTGAGCTCAGCTTCTGGCCTTCACAACAGGAAGGAGGCAGGTGGGGAAGATAAGTTAAGAAAACTGCTAAAAGCCAGAGGGTGCTCCTTCGAGAAAGAATATTTTCCCCTCAGTACCAGCTCCAGAAGAAAATTAGGAGAACAATATGTTTCTAAGGCTTTCCGGGTGACTTCTGAGCAACAAGCACACCTCGTGGAACAGACAGGAAAAACACCGACCAGGCAGACAGCAGTCCTGGGTTCTAGTCCCAGCTCTCCCTGGTATCAGAGCCTTGGACAAGCCACACTCTGTCACCTGTTAAATGAGTTTGGTAAGGATTATGACTTAAGATTCTTCCCCTTATGACTTAAGATTCTTCCCCTTTAAGAAACTCTAATGTTTTATCCAAATTATACTCTAAAAGAGATCATTATTTTCTCTGTATACCACCACCACAGAACATTTGTTTGTCTCTCCACAGGGCAGAACTCATTACATAAGTGAGCTGCATTTTTTTTTTCCATTTCTTATCTATTTGACTAGATCCTTTAAACTAGCAACGTTGTTTCACGTATTTTTTTATCCCCAGCGTCCAGCACAGGGAAAGCAATACTCTACTGCCTTCATATTCCTCTCAATATCACCAGTTAAAAATAAAAAGTAAAGTAGCTTGTCTAGCAAATTTCAAAGCCTTGGATCAGAGCTTGTTCAACACCAGGAACCACCAAAGTAATGTTAAATGTCACTGAACTGAATGAAGGTTGTACTTATGAATAGACTTTTGAAGTCGTTTCTAAAGAAACTAGCTTCTGTGTTCATCTACAATGACTACACTGTGGTGACCCCAGAATTTGGAAATGGGTGTCACCTAGGAGAAACACAAGTCAAGCAGCATCCTCTGTTCACCCATGGGATTATCTGGAGAAAGAAGTCTGAGGGAAGTTACTGTATTAAGCGGGGGACATTAGGGCACAATTCATGTCCAAATAAGGCAACTGGAATATGACTTTAGGTAAGCTGATGGGGGTGATTCGGGACTGACCAGAATGCACAGTGGAAACACACTTTCATAACCTCTCTGGGGAAAGTATGTGGTTAGCACTGGATCTAGACAAAAAGCAGGAAAAAGTCTGTCTGGGTCCGCATCCCTGTCCTAAGTGTACCCTGACTCGCAGACACATAAAAGAATGACCAAAGCCAGAAATGAACCGACTGTGTGGGAAAAACAATCCGATGAGAAGGGCTAAGGGCAGTGCTTAAGGCTCAGGCAGATGACCACTTTGACCTGGATGTGGGTATAACTAGATTTGGCCTTGGCCAGACTGGCTACAAATAATCCTTCCTTAACTATTTCACTTTCATCTACTTCCACATAATCTTATGTTAATATTGGTAATATCCATGAACTTCCCTTTACCACAGCTCCTTCTCCTTTCTCCTTCTGATGAAGATAATCATGACCAATGAAAATTACTGAGAAATATGGACCAAAAAAAGTTTGTATATCACCTCTAGGGAATGTGCTGTGAGAAAATTGATTTTCTGAATAGAGAAAATACTTTAAGCCCATTCCATTACCTTTGTTCAAAGGGCCTAAATCCACAGTCAGCAGCCTTGCACCCATCCCTTTTCCCCTTCCACAGCAAATTCTGGACGTCATGATAAATGTAGAAATTGTGATTGGAATATTAGAATATGTATTTAAAATTTTTAAAGGTGGGGGTTGGGGGGAAGTGATGAATATAACTTAAGGAAGGAGAGAGGCTTTGCTAGATCCATAGCAGTCACCTCCACCTCACATTAATCCTGAAATTGAAGGGACTGATCCCAACCCCCATAACACCAACTTTTAAAATCTTAGGTACATATTCTAATCACAATTTTTACATTTATCATTGTGGGTAAAATTGCAGTATTTTCAGAATCTCTTGCCCGGCCTTAGTGCACCTCCACATCAACAGGTGTTTCCAAGGTGTGGAGAGTAGTAGTCCATCTCCGTATCAACAGGTAATTACAAGAGGGAGAGAGTGCGTATCTGGACAGGAGAGGTTGGGTGGGGTCCCTTTTTGCAACCATGTCAGGAGATGAGGGCGAGCAGAAGAGGACAACTGCTTATAAGCAATAAACGGGTTTCTCCCACTTTATTTCTCCCTTTGACTGATCTTGGTTTCAAAGGTATTTTGCCCTGGGCTGGGAAAATATTTTCTCTCCAGAGTTAAATCATGAAGTCCAAAATTTGCTGTGGAAGAAGACAGGGGATGGATGTTAGGCTGTGATTAATTGTGGATTTAAGCCCTTTGAACTGAGGCAAAGGGGATGGGTTCAATGGAATTTTTCTCTATTTATTCAGAAAATCCATTCCATTGAGCTGGTGGATCATAGGTTATCTGAAGAATTAACTTCTAAACAGTTACTTGGATAAAAATGCCAGATACCAGCATGCAAGGGGTAGACTAGTCATGTTGGAGAAGGGCTTTCTGGTCTCAGCTGGGGGCTATGCACATGGCCACTCTAGCACATTCAGCCACTTCCGTGTTGTCCACCCTGATGGGTGCATTAAGAGAAGCCTGGTGTCCATTATGACAATTATAGCCTTTTCAGAAATTCATGAACTCAGAAATTAAGGTAATTCAGGAATTGAAATTCAAATACCTTTCCTCAGGGCCAAAAAGTCAGTGAACAGTTAAGTAACACAATGTAAGTAAACATCCAGCAATAAGGGCAGAGATGAGCTACAGCATGCTAGCCCCTACAAAAAGGCAGCCAGATTTAAATTAAAAACAAAACAAAACCACACAGGCTAAACAAGATGGGCCTCCAGGGCTAGATTTCCAGGCTCACCTGAAATGTCTGGGTGTGGCACTAGCTCATGTGTGGGACCTTAGATTTTAGTCAGCTAATCAGATTAGCTGACTTCCACCAAGTTCAGGCAGAGACAGTGAAATTCAGCAGATTCTTTTAAGACACTGAGGAAAGCTGCAGTCATAGCCCCCATCTTGTTCAGATCCTGTTAGATCTTGTCCACTGTTCCCTTAACATCCACTCTACCCTGCAACATTATCATCCTATTTAAAAAAATAAAATGCAAAGATTCAGCCATCTCAGGCGCCACCTGCCTACCACATCTTAGTGAATGAGGCAGCCTAGGACCAAGTGGAACACAGGGCAAAGAAGTGGATCTAAGATGTTTCAGGTTAGGAACACTTAAGGCTCAACCTATGTTGGCCTGGCACACTGAGCTCAGAGGGAAGAAGGCGTGGGGGCCACATGGATCACATACCCTTCCTTTTCCAATGCAGGGTTGGTTTCAGGGGCCCCCCTTCCACAGGAAACAAGAACCTTCCTTTCTCCTTCCTCCCAAAATGCCAGTGCAGAGCTACTCCAGAGCTAAACCTCAAAGTGTCATCATCTATCTCCAAACACAGAATGTTATATAGGTCAGGAGGCTTACATTTCTCACTTTTTTTGTTGATCATTCTACATTCTGAAATGATTTTTAATCCCCCAGGCATCAAATATCTCAAGATGACTTGCTTGAATTCCATGATTAATGATAAGAATGACCTGCAATAAAACGTCTCCTACATTTTAAGATGAGAAAAATGCTCCAGAAGACAGAAATCAGACCCTATTCAACCAACACAGCGAAGCTTTCTCTGAGCCCAAGCACTCACTGGAAAGAGGCGTTTCCCAAGTGAAAAGAGGCAGGACCAAGTCTGGCCACTGCAGCTCCTTGCAGTACCCTCTCACTCAAACTTTAACACAGGCTGCATTGTGAAACCAAGACAAAACTGCAAATAACTGAAAAGTTGCTACCCTCATGTTCTTAACCCGCATACCAGCAGCCCATGGGCTCTGGACAGAGCCCCGGTCACTGAGCATAAAGGCAAGAATGCTGGGTGGGAGGCCATTACACACTCCCTCCCAGTCGTCATGCACACAAGCTTTCTCCTCTTCCCATCACATCCTCAGTATTTCCACAACCAACAAGGAGGGGGTGAAGGCTGCAGCAGGAGCCCAGTGTGCATCACCACAAAGGACCCTTCAACACCAGCCCTCAAGCACCGCCTGAGGATGAAGTCAGCCTATATTCTATAGGCCATGAACTTTGTGGCCAGCTGGCCAACTAGCCCCCACTCCCCTTAAGGTCCTTCAGATGGAAAAGGATTGATTTCACCCACAGGGACCTCATTCACTCTGCAGGAAGTGCAGCCAAACCGTTTCTAAATCAGCACATTCAGGGGGACAGTCAGAGAAACATTCACAAGCGCCTCTGTGAGGCTGCAGGGGCACTCCTCCCTCCCTTGGCTCTGACCCCAGACCACATTGCACACACACCACTGCTGGGCGCACCTCTCTAAACATCCCCTGCTGTTTCTGTGATGGCAGCCTCCTACTCAAGGCTCTATGCTGGCTCCCCATTTGCCCTCAGAACATGGGCAAATACCTCAGCTTAGCACAGAAATTCCTGCAAGATTTGGCCATTTTACCTGCCCACGTCTCCCCTCTGTCCTTCTACACATGCCTTGTCCATGTTCTCTTCCCTTTTCTCCATCTACACAGTTTTGTCACTAAGATTGCCATCAGCCTTGGTTCTAGACTCAACTGGGCCATTTAGAGCTGGAGACCTCTGGCAAGGTACTTCAAGATTCAAAGACTCAGTGCCTTAGTTTCCTCATCTATAGAGCAGGAATAATGACAGTCCACACTGCTCAGGTAGAGTGCAGCAGTGAAGAACTGAGATGTTACAGTCCAGAATAAAACCTGGCACATGACATCACCCAATAAATATTAACAATTGAAATACTCATTATTATCATACAAGTCTCTTCCTCTAAAAAGTCTTCCCTAGCAATATGAGTCACCATTTTCCGTTTCATAAATGTCCTGTGAACACTCAAAAACTAGATAATGGCTGGAATTATTAGGAACTATTTCATAGGGCAGATTCCTTGGAGGGTAATCAAATGTTAAAATTATTATGAAAGTCATATCCTAAAATACATACCAGTGGCTCCCAAATTATCCATCTCTACCTCTAACTCCAATGTTTCTGATGGGTTCACCACTAAGAGATACTATATATCTGTATAGTTTGAGATTTTGTTTCTTGGAACCAAAGCTTAATTCAAGACTGAAAACTTCCTAAAACCTGGTTCCTACCACTCAGTACCACAGGGGATCTCAGGCCAATGCTTGTTGAATTTAAAAAGAGTACACTAAGTCACCTAAAAAATGAAGAGAGTAAATGAGATTAAGTGGACCTTCAGAATAAGAGTTGAAAATCTACCCATTTGCCTCAAATGCCATGGTAAGAGGAAAAGATTCGGGGCCAATCACCACCAAGATACAGGAAAACCTGGTATGGCCTGGCAAGGCAGCCTTGGGCCTTGGTCTCCCTGCCTCCAAACTGCCAGAGCATGTCATGTAGCCTGTGGCACTTACCAATTTCTATTTTGTTTTCTGCCTCAGAAGACTTTATACCTGGTCTTCCAGATTATAAACTCCTTTCTTGTAAGTCTGAATACCCCTTAGTTCCCTCTGCTGTGCCTTACTGAGTAGAAATTCAATGGTGAAACCAGAGGAGAATCTAGATTTCTCAAGTTTTGACAATAATTCTACTATATTCCAGACCATTCAGCCACAATTATAAAAGCATTACCCAACAGAAAACTTCAAAGGGCCCGCTTTAACTAATGGATAGGAACACATCAAGTGCTTTTAAGAAAACGGTTGTTTTGAACACTCAAGTGTATTTAAAATAGCCTCTTCATCAGCCAGATTATGGGGGATGTGTTGGCGTTTTTGAGGGAGCCCAGTAAATAATACTTCCCTTCCTAGGTTCTGAACAGATTAACAAAAAAGATGGCAATGTCAGCAGATAGCTGCAAATACTATCTTTACCCTCATAAAGCTGAGGTGAGAGAGTGTGGCTCGTATCTGCAGAGAAGTGGGCTTCTTACTTACTACCCGACCCCAAAATGAGTCAGACTTACCCACCAAGGAACCCACTAGGGCACCAGTCTCACAGGGCTGGGCCAGACTTGCAATCAGGGGCACAGTTTGCTGGGAAATGCAGCAGGCGTGTTCCCTGAGGACAGCTGTTGGCAGAGGGAAAGGGGGACAGGAAGGGCTCGCCATCCAAATAGTGTCTCCCTGGGGCCCAGCAGAGTGATGGGGTTTTCGGGGAGCTCTCATGGAGCCTCCCCTCCCCTCACAGTGAAGATGATGGCACCAAGGGCACCTCCGCAGGAGTGTTTGTTCTCCCCTTTATGCTGAAACTGTAGGCTATTTTAAATACACTTGAGTGTTCAAAACAACCGTTTTCTTAAAAGCACTTGATGTGTTCCTATCCATTAGTTAAAGCGGGCCCTTTGAAGTTTTCTGTTGGGTAATGCTTTTATAATTGTGGCTGAATGGTCTGGAATATAGTAAAATTATTGTCAAAACTTGAGAAATCTAGATTCTCCTCTGGTTTCACCATTGGATTTCTACTCAGTAAGGCACAGCAGAGGGAACTAAGGGGTATTCAGACTTACAAGAAAGGAGTTTATAATCTGGAAGACCAGGTATAAAGTCTTCTGAGGCAGAAAACAAAATAGAAATTGGTAAGTGCCACAGGCTACATGACATGCTCTGGCAGTTTGGAGGCAGGGAGACCAAGGCCCAAGGCTGCCTTGCCAGGCCATACCAGGTTTTCCTGTATCTTGGTGGTGATTGGCCCCGAATCTTTTCCTCTTACCATGGCATTTGAGGCAAATGGGTAGATTTTCAACTCTTATTCTGAAGGTCCACTTAATCTCATTTACTCTCTTCATTTTTTAGGTGACTTAGTGTACTCTTTTTAAATTCAACAAGCATTGGCCTGAGATCCCCTGTGGTACTGAGTGGTAGGAACCAGGTTTTAGGAAGTTTTCAGTCTTGAATTAAGCTTTGGTTCCAAGAAACAAAATCTCAAACTATACAGATATATAGTATCTCTTAGTGGTGAACCCATCAGAAACATTGGAGTTAGAGGTAGAGATGGATAATTTGGGAGCCACTGGTATGTATTTTAGGATATGACTTTCATAATAATTTTAACATTTGATTACCCTCCAAGGAATCTGCCCTATGAAATAGTTCCTAATAATTCCAGCCATTATCTAGTTTTTGAGTGTTCACAGGACATTTATGAAACGGAAAATGGTGATTCATATTGCTAGGGAAGACTTTTTAGAGGAAGAGACTTGTATGATAATAATGAGTATTTCAATTGTTAATATTTATTGGGTGATGTCATGTGCCAGGTTTTATTCTGGACTGTAACATCTCAGTTCTTCACTGCTGCACTCTACCTGAGCAGTGTGGACTGTCATTATTCCTGCTCTATAGATGAGGAAACTAAGGCACTGAGTCTTTGAATCTTGAAGTACCTTGCCAGAGGTCTCCAGCTCTAAATGGCCCAGTTGAGTCTAGAACCAAGGCTGATGGCAATCTTAGTGACAAAACTGTGTAGATGGAGAAAAGGGAAGAGAACATGGACAAGGCATGTGTAGAAGGACAGAGGGGAGACGTGGGCAGGTAAAATGGCCAAATCTTGCAGGAATTTCTGTGCTAAGCTGAGGTATTTGCCCATGTTCTGAGGGCAAATGGGGAGCCAGCATAGAGCCTTGAGTAGGAGGCTGCCATCACAGAAACAGCAGGGGATGTTTAGAGAGGTGCGCCCAGCAGTGGTGTGTGTGCAGTGTGGTCTGGGGTCAGAGCCGAGGGAGGGAGGGGTGGCCCTGCAGCCACACAGAGGCGCTTGTGAATGTTTCTCTGCCTGCCCCGCTGAAGGTCCAGAAAAATGTCCTGTATGTGTCCTCATCAGCTCGCATACCAGGCCCAATGCGTACATTCACCAGGAAATGGCTGGAGATGATCCCTCACCCGTAAGGCACCCACCCTACAAGTGGAATGTCCAGAAAAGTAAAAACTACTCTGCAGCCCACTCCTCATTATCTGTGGGCTTATCTCAGCTTTATCATACTTTCCACATAGACCAAATTAAGTGTGTGTAACAGCTGCTACTTGAGATACTGGCAGACATCCTTATGACAAGGGAAAGTACAAGTCTACAAGAAAAGACTATACACCTAATTAGGAACAGCTACAAGCAAGGCTAAGACAAAACACACAACCCTCTACAATAAAAGCATCAGACTGCATCTGTACTGCGATCAAGATACTGAACAGTTCACCTGCTGGGCAGGAAGCCCTGAAGAGGCTTCAGGAAGGTTCAGTGAGAGCAAGCACATACCCCAAACCACCCTCGGGTGGGACAGTCCCGCCTTCGGAATTGAATTTTTCCCACACACCTTCATTTACCATCAGAAATTGGAATAATTCAAAGAGAGGCAGACTTACGTGCTCTTTCATCTCATTAGCCACAGTTTCTGACATCATGATGCAGCAGAGGACGGCGACTAGAATGAAGTAGAGCGCGTACATGAAGCGCGTGCTCCGCGACTGCCGGATTTTGGGGCAGCAGCCACAGCAGAGGGAGCAGCCAGCAGACCCACAGCAGCAGGCCAGCTAGAAAAGGAACACACAATATCCTCTTAGGGCCATTTCTTTACAAACCAATTCACCCCAAATCTCTGCAGATCGACCTGCCAGGCCATCATTTTTCTGGGCCCTCCTGCCTGTAGAACATGAAGAACAGTTTATTGTGAACAAAGCTCTGCCAGAATTCTCACACACTGTCTTCACGTGATAAGCACTGTGGCTTGGAAAATGGCCAATAATTGAACAGAAAAGGCACAGCTCACTGGAGGCACAAAATCATTACTCTTAGACAGAGCTCTGGAGTCGACTAAGAGTAAGAAAAGCAGCCAAGAACTAGGAAAAGGACAAAGGGAGGTGAGAAGAATGTAAAAAAGGTGGATGCAAGTGAGGGATTTGAGAAAATCCATGAGTCAAAGAATGAACTACGGACACCGAGGGGCATGTTGGGATGCAAAAGGCTACATATGCTGCAGCCATAGTCCTTTGCAGGAAATACTGTGAGTGTAACTTAAAGCTCAAAAGGAATAGGTGCCTCTTAGAAGTGTATTGTTTACATTACACTTCTGCATCACCAAGGCCCACCTGCATCACTAAGGACACACAGCCTTCTACTTCAGGCAACTGGATATCTTTATTGGTTTGGACTTTACTGGTCAATGCAACTAGACATAATTTAGGAATATTGAATAAAATAGGGATAAATTTTCAGTTTTGGATCTGGTATTAATTTTTTTCTTTTTAAAGACTATGTTTTCAGAGTTGTCTTAGGTTTACAATAAAATTGAGAGGAAGCACAGAGATTTCCCATATACCCCTTACTCCTACACATGCATAGTCTCCCCCATTACCAATCATCCACCAGAATGGTACATTTTTTACCAAGGATGAACCCGCACTGGCTGGCACACCCTAATCACCCAAAGCCCACAGTACCTGAGGGTTCATTCTTGTTGTTGTACATTCAATGGATTTAGACAAACATATGACATATACCCATTGTTATATAATATGGAATATTTTCAGTGCCCTCTGAACCTAGATCTTTAGAGACACACAGGGCAATGGGGTAGTGCTGTTAAAGGTCCAGGCTCACAGTCATCCTGCCCAGGTTTGGTGCCTGGTTGTTCCACCAACAAACTGTACACTATAAACAAGTTATTTATCCTTTTAAGACTCAGTCTCCTCATTTGTAAAGTGGGGGTGGTAGTGGTAACAGTGCTTATGCTTCTGCTATGTCCTGTAGGGGGCCTCATCGGACATACCTGGTGTCAGGAAGGAATTTCTGTTAAGAAAACTGGGAATTTTACAAGAGACATTACTATAAACTGCAAATAACAACCAAACCTACATCTATTAACACTCGAGTCACTATAAAACCTAAAACCTAACAATTCAATCTGGTAATGATTTGGAAGGAAGTTCTTTGTATGGCTTTTCAAGACTTTGCATGGCTCAAAAAAAGCATCAATTAGAATGCCACACCATAAACATCACTTACAATGAGAAGAGAGAGGTATACAGGTACAATACAGGTATAAGACTGGCACCCAGGTAAGAGAAAACAGGTTGTAATCGTAATGATGTTAGGACAGATCTTGGAAATGTAGTCACTTCCCAAGTCATTTCTTTTACTTCACGGACCTGCCATTGTTGTTGGACCCTATTTCATCACTTCAAATTTTTGCTAATGTAATCTCTATCTTTTATTCAGTCTTCCAAGTCATCTTCAAAAAGACTCTTCTTGCCTCATAAAGCTAGGCCACTGCTTTGTAAAGTAAGCTATTCAACTTGGGCTGAGCTGAGAGATCACTCATGTGGAATCTAGCACCCATACAGATAGGTGTTCTTAGAGGCCACCTTCCTTTACAAGTCACTCACTCATATTCTCTATCAATTTGACTGCCTTGTTTCCACTCTTATGCCCAAATCTCCCCAACCAACTGACTTGTCTGGCTGGCTTTTCTCTGGGCCTTGCCTCCCTCCTCTTCTGCCTCCCAAATTCTTTTACAACTGCCTTCCTTATCGAGTGCTGACTTTTTAAATTCTATGGTCTTAAATAACCAATCTTACTGTATTTCAAATTCAAATGCAATAAACAAAGTATTAGAGAAGAGGTTAATGCTTCCCATCATAGAACTTTCCCACAGCAGAATATCTCACTATCTCCACAAAGGGTAAAAATAAACACACACACACACACACACACACACACACACGAGCCTAATTGGTCATTTTAAGGGAGACAAACAGAGATAGAATGGATGAGATTAAGGAAAATGTGGAAAGAAAATCATACTGGTTTAATCCTACCCTATCATTAAAGTCATCTATCATTGTATGGATCTGATTTTTCTAAAGTTCCTCACTTTTCACTTTCACTCTATAGAATGCTTAAATATATATGCATACATATATTTAATATTAAACATATATTTAAATACATATGTATGTTTGTGTTTATACATATACACATGTGTATACATATACACACTACCTAATATTACAATCCAACAGCTGTTCTCTACTAACCTAAAAGTTATTTATCAACCACACTATGCCAATAACCAACAGTATAAGTTCATTACCTTAAGCTAAACATTGATGTATACACCAAATGGAATTCAAAATACCATCCATGAAAGAAATGTCATGTTAGCATCCAGAAAATCTCACAGACCCACTGTCCTACCACTTCTGTCTAGAAGAGGTTAATTTGGAATAAACAGGTTTACATCCCGCTCCTGCCACTTACAGCTAATTACTCTGACCATGTCACTCACACTGATGCTCACCTTCAATTCGCAGCCAGCCTAACTTTCAGGTCTGTCAAAAGCTTGGAGAGAAGTTTCAGCATTTTGTTAATATCCCTGACTCCAGAGGGTTTCAATCTTTCAGTGAACAAGTCAGAGCATTAAAAACAAATAAATGTAGAATGTACAACATCAAAAGAGAACCCTAATATAAACCAGAGCCATTTGTGATAAGGATGTGTCAGTGTAGGTTCACTGACTGTAACACATGTACCATGGGGGCCATTGATATGTGGGAGGCTATGCATGTGGAGGTGCAGGAGCTAACAATATGGGAAATCTCTGTACCTTCCTCTCAATTCTGCTGTGAACATGAAATGCTCTAAAAAATAGTCTGTTTTTTAAAAAGCCAAATAAATGAAAAAACCTTTCCTCATTAATGGCTCAATATATGAATGCTAAGTTATAAGTCCAGGGAGAGGAAATCCTGGGGCAAAATACCTCTAAAAACCAAAACCAGTCAAAGGGAGAAATCAAGTTTAGAACCCATTTATTGCTCGCAAACTGCAGTCCGGGACCTTCTCTCTTTCCTGCTCCAGCAGAAGCAAACCAGCCCTCCCCTCCCCTCTCAGGCACAGATAAGCCCTCCTGGCCCAGGTAATTATCCATTGATGTGGAGATGAACTTCTCTCCACCCCTGAGGAATGATGCAAATGCACTAAAGCCATACTTCTTTTCACCTCTGAATGCGTACTGATATGCAGATGTACTAAAGCCAGGTGAGATATTCTGGAAATATTACAATTTTACACACAGGCCACCCCTCCAGAAATCTCAACTTACAAGTTACTCATTCCCCCTCTTCCGACCAATCTAATGACATGCAATAGCAACAGCAATAAAATCTTGATAATCTTCAAGCCAGAGGATTCAGCCTATGCAGATTAAGTAAATGTACTTTACAGCACAATCTCTCCCTAAGCACAAAATATCTTTCTACACTTGTTTACTCATTCCTAATAATGATGCTAGATTGCTCACAACACTTTTACCAAACATTAGATAAAGTCAAGCCTCTCTTTAAGCACTTTTTCTTGACAACAGCAATACAATCATGATAATTCTCAAGCCAGAGGATTCAGATAGATTCAAAGTCCCATGCAGATTAAGTCCAAAACTCCTCCATACCAGCCATCACATGGCAGCTGCAGCCAGGGGGTGCATCCAGGACACAAGGACTGTAGAAGCAAATAATCATGATTGTGGGGGGCCACTTTGCTATTATTCCAGGAATACACAGGAGGCCAGCTTCCGGTCCTTTTCCCCAAGGTGCAGGAAGAACCAGCCATGCACCCATCCTTGCAATACATGTCCAATAAAGTTGGTGCCTTGACTGCTCTCAATCACTGGTGACCAGCCATAGGCTGCAAAGAGACACTCTAGGCCCCTCTTGGTGGTTTGCTGATCTACACAACATGCAGGGCATTCCTTCCGGGCTCGGCTGAGTTCTTCAAAGGTCAATGGCAAACCCCACCAACGGCCCCATATTGTCTTTTGCCCTGCATACAACAAATGCTGATGTAGCCATTGGGCCACATCAAACACAGGCTTTCTTTCTAGCCAGCGCACCTGGGCCAATGTGTCTGCTTCATTATTCCCTGGGGATGCCAAAGGAAAATGGCCAGCCACATGATATACGGTAGGTGTCTATGCCATGCCACTCCATGGCCTTTGGGTCCAGTCTCTCACCCACCCCGCAATGGGATACGTGGTTATTACCTTGGTCAGAGCTGTTCAGGTGATGGGCTCCATAGCCAGCAAGGCATGGTACACAGCAGCCAGTTGCTTCTCTATCAAGGTGACCCAGACTTCTGCTCCTTTCCATAGCTGTGACCAGGCTCCGGCCGGCAGCAAGAGCAGCAGCAGCAGTGGTAGTGCCTCCATGACCACATGAGTGTAGACACATGTCCCTTAGCATGAGCACCACTTCTCCCCATCATTTCTAGAGGCAGCCTTCCCAAAGGTCACACCCACTATAACAGATTTCGGATTCAGAAGAATCCTGCCAACTGCGCCAGATGTAATTCTGGGGAAAGGAAATACTGGGGCATAATACCTTTAAAAACCGAAATCAGTCAAAGGGAGAAATAAAGTTTAAAACCTGTTCATTGCTTACAAACTGTAGTCTAGGACCTTCTCTCTTTCCTGCTCCAGCAGAAGCAAAACCAGCTCTCCCCTCCCCTCTCAGGTACAGACAAGCCCTCCTGGCCCAGGTAA